CTAAGAATACCCTTCTGTGCCCTCTCACACCATTTGTCAGGAGAAGGCTGTTAGCTGAAGCACCTCAATTACCACAATAAGCCAGGAGGAGAATGGCAATTTTTAAGGTAGCCAAGACCAAACCATTTAGGAACATTTTGTGGGCAACCGGTGACGTTCTGGAATTTGGTCCTTTGCAGTATGCATAAAACTCCCCGGCAATTCCTGAGGCATAAACCAATGATAGACTCTAATGTTTATTTTGTCGTCTCCTGTGGATTAACCATGTAAACTGCAGTACACATATAGATTCGTGTTCTTGCTTGTATTGCAACACGACCAACGAGTCCCAGTCATGGATCAGAGCCCCATTATGCTAGGGGCTGTGCAAACACAGAACATAAGAATGGCCATACTGGGTCAGACCAAAGGTCCATCTAGCCCAGTATTCTGTCTTCTGACAGTGGCCAGTGCCAGGTGCTTCAGAGGGGATGAACAGAACAGGTAATCATCAAATTGATGCATCCCCTGTTACCCATTCCCAGCTTCTGGCAATCAGAGGCTAGGGGCGCCATCCCTGCCCATCCTGGCTAACAGTCATCGATGGACCTATCCTCCATGAACTTATGCAGTTCTTTTTTGAACAAAAAGATGGTCCTTCCCCTGAAGAGTTCACATTCTCACCTCCATTGCTTACTCTATTTCTTATCTTTTAAGATAAGGTCATGGCCTGCTCGTGAGTGGTGAAGTCCCTTTTGCTGGGATAGCCTGACTTTCATCTCCATTTAAAGGTTTGGAATCTTGTAAGAAAACACAACAGCCCAACCAAAAGCACAGTGCAAAGGAAAAGAGAACATCAGGCAGTGCAACACCAGGAGAGAAAAGAACGGTTGAACATACTGTAGGCTAGTACATTTATTTCCACAAATGAGACACCAATGACCATCTGGCCGTGCAAATGGTGTGATCCTGTAACCAAGAGAAAGCACATAGGAACAGCATACACCGTTTATATGCTGGTAGAACAGTTTTGTGATATTCCCCTCACCCCCATAAGTGAATCTATCAGCACTGTTAATACTATCCCATTACTAATGCAAAGTTGTACTGCATCCTGCAATAGAATAATGGCCATGTTCATTACTCTGTTGGTGATTACATTACAGGGATGCCTAAAGCTTCACAATGACTGGCGTTGAGTAGAACACATATTGGATTTAGTGCATTTACTGAGTAGAAAAAAATTACCTGTAATTAAATTTATGTATGTTCTTTATTCTAATAGCCACCCACATGTTCACCAGTACAGTCTGGGCTTCAGGCTACCATGCAATTTTTCTATATTATTCTTCAGGTTTATAGCACTTGAATCTCCAAAATGGGTTTGGCCATTAATCTACTTGCTGCTAATGGGATTTCTGCAAAGGGCCAAACTACAAGGAGCTTTTGGAATCTTTAAGTAGTTAAAAGTCTTGGAAAACTGATATGAGTGAATTCAGCATCATAGATAAAACAAATATTCAAAAGTACAGCTGTTTTAACGTGCTCTGCGTTCTACTAATCAATGAAAACACTTTAAACTACAAATAGATCAGGGAGCTGAGAAAAAAAGCTTCAGAATTATTAAATGGATTGTAGCTTAAGTTCTAACACACTTTAAAGCAACAGATCTCAGCTGTTGTAAACTTGTGAAGTCAATGGAGCTACGCTGATTTATGTCAGCTGAGGATCTGGCCCATTCTATTTATCTGGAGTTATATAATAATAATAATAATAAATGGAGATATCCCATTTCCTAGAACTGGAAGGGACCTTGAAAGGTCATCAAGTCCAGCCCCCTGCCTTCACTAGCAGGGCCAAGTACTGATTTTGTCCTAGATCCCCAAGTGGCCCCCTCAAGGATTGAACTCACAACCCTGGGTTTAGCAGGCCAATGCTCAAACCACTGAGCTACCCCTCCCCCCCAAAGTTATGACTTTGGCATGTTTAAAAACGGTGATTGGCCATCTTCCGAGAATCTGGATATGAATGGTCTGGAACTTGGGGCAATCAAATTCTCACCTTGTATCAGCATCCACTATTATGCCATCATGTGCCAGCAATGTCCCTCTGCCATATACATTGGCCAAACTGGACAGTCTCTACGCAAAAGAATAAATGGACACAAATCTGACATCAGGAATCATAACATTCAGAAACCAGTGGGAGAACACTTCAACCTCTCTTACCACTCAGTGACAGACTTGAAGGTGACAATTTTGCAACAAAAACCTTCAAAAACAGACTGCAAAGAGAGACTGCTGAACTTGAATTAATATGCAAATTAGATACCATTAACTTAGGTTTGAACAGAGACTGG